AGACGTGTGCTCTTCCGATCTCCCCAAAACCCCAAAACCCCATAATTGGGTTAGTAAATTATGAAAGTAATTAGAATCTTGAATAATATTATTTAAATATGTATCAGTCTTTGAGGTTTCTGATCTATAATTTATTAATTTGATGAGAGTAGTCTGAGTCATTTTCAAAAAAATTGACAGAATCAGTGTCATCATTTTAAGTATCCTGGCCCTTAGTTTACTATTTGTAAATTTTCTTGCAGAACCAGCACTCTAAATCTTTAATATGATGCTCATCGATAAGTCTTTTTATACAAATACCATGAGCCAAATGCTAGATATTAGGCTTACAGTAAAGTAGCTTAACAACTCTATCTTACATGGTAAAATCTCTATTGCAAATAGCACATTCAACTTCTTTTTTAAGTCTTGGATCTTCCTTGATAAGGTCAATATACTGCTTTTAAGTGTAGGCTCTAAGCAATTTACTTCTTGTAGTAACTGCCTTATCTGGTGTTGGGTACTAGTCCACTTTATCTCTAGGCATCTTTGTGATAGATCTCAGCTTAACTTAGTCAATAAACTATTTATCAGAGTTTTACTTCACAATTTTGCTGAATTCCTGCTAGTTGTTATTCACGCCACTAAGGCTATTCAAATCTATATTGTAGTCGATAACTTCTGTTAAAATCACACTTCCATCGAAATCTTCATCTTATGCAAGACGCTACTATTGGTCTTTATTGATATTACCTCTATTATCAAAAACTATTTTTCCTTTTTCTCGCTTTGGAGTTAGCATTAGTTTCTCCTGCTCTGTTTCAATGATGTAATTTTATCGGCGAGGCTAGTTTATCTTTTATTGACTTTATATATTCTCATTATCATCCTCATAGAATTTAACATTGGTATTATAAGGACCATCAAATGCACTAAGCTAAGTTTGCTAGTCTTTCTAAGGAGAATTCTTAGATGGGGACTAAGTCCCTGTGTTTACCTTTAAAACTGGAGGCCTTTTATTAATCTCTTCATCAGGTGTATCTACCATCTCTACTTTCTCTCTTTTTTCAGCTTTATTCTTATCTCTACAGCAACAGCAAAGAATTAGAATGATTAATAGGATCAGAAATAGGGTGCAACCTATTACTATCAGTAATATCTGCCAATAGAGGAGTTTATTATCATCTCCTGCTGTCAAGTTTGGGCTTGCTATTGGATTTGGTTCTTAAATAACACTATTCGACAAATTAGGATCAAAGGTTGTTGAATTCGTACAGTAAAATACTCTAAGTAAATAATCAAAGCTTTGGTAATCCTCATTTTATACATAGCAAGTACTAGCAGTAGAAGCTGAAGGCGCTAGTGCTAGCTAGTCAGTCCCAAGATTTACACAAGCGCCATTTACATAGATTTATTTGTGAGTACAAAGAAGAGTTTAATAAACAGCTATCGAATCCAAATATTTCATCATTACCACCCTATCTTAGGCTAAACTGACTTATAATACTCTTGCTAATGAATCATCAATCTTAAAGATTTCAGGATATTCCTTCTTTGAATAATAGTACTTGCCATCTTTAGCATAGAAGAATCTTAGGACACTTTTGAAATGAAGCTGGACTTTATCAAGCTAGCTAAAGGATTGATAAAAGAGACCAAAATGATTTGAAGTATATTCAAACAAATGGAATGAAATTCCCACTTATCTTTCTGTTATATTTCCCACCCATGAGTATAAAAGGCTTAAACTGTAGTCAATCTCCAGAATATAGAAATCTATCCTGCCAGCTTTGCTATTATATTCTGGACAAGAAATTACAATAGTATTTTGCACCCATTATATACTCTGAGCACACATATCCCCAATGGTTTGATTCATTAGTAATTTATAGGCTAAGTTCACTGTAGCATTTACTTGATAAACAAAACATTGATTATCCGAAGCTGATACATTATTAGTGCAAGCGAAAAAATTATATAGCTCTGCCTCATTTACTTTCTGAGCTTCATAACTTAACTTATAATTCTTGTACTTAAATTGCTAGGAACCAAGCATAGTTTTCCTATCTGTAAAGTAAAAAAAGTCAAGATTTGTGTCTCGATACAATAAAAAAATTTCAAACACAAGTAGATCTCCAACATTACCAATTCTAAAAGTCTCATTAGTTTAGTTTTTAATTGTATTAGATGAGACATCGAAGATGTAGCTCGATGACCTATTGCCAATCAGGAATGAAACTTTAGTATTATTATTGATCTCCTGATATGTGTGAGTGCTGACCGCCTTTTAATTTATCTTCACATTGTTTGTATAGCTTGAACTTCCTCCTTAGCTAAGCAGAAATGCCAAGTAGTGCAATTCAATACCCTCCTCGCACTAGAATGCAGTAATTCTACTTACGAGCATGCGACAGTTTGTTTTATTGCCAGCTATTGTGTATAGAGGTTTTACTATGAAAGTGTGTGTATTGGTAAAGAGGGTAAAGAGAATAAGTAAAACTAAAACCACAAGCTTCATTAATTTAAGAATTTTTATTCTCGATTTAACAAATTAAGATTAATAATAAAACATTGAAATTCTCACTCAATTTAGAGATTATTCATAATATACATCACAGGTCGGATCCTATTTATGAAGGTGACGAAAACTGCTTGTTACCTGAACTAGTTGATTCACCACTAGCTCTACATTTCCTACAACTTCTTTTTGCAGGTGAGCTTTTAAGGCTCTCTATGCAGTAATCATGCGATTTCTTACTCTTTATGTGACTGCATTCAAACTAAATCTCTATTGAATCCTCATTTTCTATAAGTTCTCCACAAATATAACATTTTTCCAGCTTTTTCTTTTTCTTTGGCTTTGCATTTTCTCTGAGGGAATTTTCTTGCTTAGCAATATCTTCAAGATATTCTTCCTATTACTTTATTATGCATCCCTCTATCTGCTCTTAGATTTAATCACTTGAGTGGCTTTTAAGATTCTTATTTGATCTCTAAGACTCAATATCATCTAAATTGTCAAAATCATCTTAAGATTTTTCAGGCATTGCCAGCTTTATGCTAAAGCTGCTGGGCTGGTCCTATTTTTCTTCAACCCAATTATTAACCTTTTACTTTACTGGAGGCTAAATATCGATTTGTTTGAAGACATCCAAGGGTTTACTTTTATCGATAGTATTTGCATCATGAAGTTTGTCCTTTTTACCTATAGTAAATAGGTCTTGTTATGTTGGATTCTACTTTTATTCATTTTCAATGTAAGCCTGCTTTCTATCATTTTTCTTTTTATACCTCTTACAAATCTTGCAGATGAGGAAAACTATCATAGATAGTAGACAAATCATTCCAATGCTAGAAAAAACTATTATAGTTATCATAATGTTTTCAGTCATCACATTCGACCCTGATTCTCTAACTATAATGCTCTAATCTAGATTGTTAAATTCTGGATTTTTATTGATATTATCTTCAGAGACTGACTAATTATTTGAAGATGAATTATTTTTAGTTTAGTTATTCGAATCAATTGAATTCCCATCTGAATCTGTCTAATTTTTAGTGGTATTGTTCTAATTGGAATCGTTCGTCTGATTTAAATCAGATGGCTTCTTCTATGTCTCATTTAGGTCATTCTTAGTCTGATTATTTGCACTTTAGTTGTTGTTAGTAGAGTAATTTTAAGTTAAGTTTTATTGAATTGAGGAATTAGTCTAATTTTAAATGATCTATGATTGGTTGTTTTGACTTGAGTTGTTAATTGCTGATTAATTAGTTCTAGTTCCATTGCTTGTTTGATTTGAAGTTTAATTGCTTGGTTAAGTTTAGTTTGTAATATTTCCTTAGGTTTGATTTGTGACATTCAAATTCTAAGAAGATTGATTATTTTAAGTCTAATTACTATTGGTCAAATTAGTTGAGGAGTTTGTATTAGATGAATTCGTTGTCGAATTCTTAGTGCTATTAGTTTGCGAAGTATTATTGGTTGCATTTGAAGTTGTATTAGTTTAGTTGGTACTCGAGTTAGTCGTATTAGATGAATTTTAAGAGGAGTTTGTCGAAATATTTTGGTTGTTAGTAGAAGAACTATTGCTCTAACTACTATTTGTAACATTATTTGTAGAATTTGTAGCATTCGGCTTAGATGAAGAGTTATTTTAAGTACTATTCGAGGTACTATTACCTTAAGTGTTATTGCTACCAGTATTATTATTCGTAGTATTTGTGGTTTAGCCACTCGAATTACTTGATTGGGTATTATTCTATTTAATACTATTCGTGATATTTGCATTAGTTGTATTTGAAGATTATGTCTAATTGGTTGCATTTGAAGAGTTATTTCCTGCTTGAGTATTATTGATATTCGTACTATTACTTGTAGTATTGGTTTTATTACTATTATTTGTCACGTTCAGTGCATTAGTGTTGTTATTTTAAGTGCTGGAATTAGTGCTATTACTTAAACTATTATTTTAGGTTTGATTTGAGGTAGTTTAATTTGTTTTATTAGTTGTGCTCGCATTTGAGTTAGAACTGTTTCCATTGCTGATGTTTGTTTAATTTGAAGTTATATTGCTATTAGATGTTGCATTTGTTGTGTTAGTCTTATTGCCACCACTTGATATATTCCCAATTGTTATATTACTGCCTGAAGAATTAGTAGTATTACTCTAGTTATTATTTACAGTCTAATTTTAAGTTGTCTAATTAGTCTTGTTATTGTTCGAATTAGAGCTGTTACTATTTGTGCTATTCGTTATATTAGTAGATGAATTACTAGCGCTAGCACTACTATTAGAATTCTATGTTGAATTAGTTGTATTAGTTTTATTATTATTGGTAGTACTATTTGCTGTGATATTCGTGCTGTTTGTCTAAGTAGAAGTATTTGGTGTAGTGTTAGTTTTATTATTCATGAGTTTAAAAGGTACGAAAGTGTCACTCATTGTATTGACTGGGTCAAGATCAGTTGTGTTAGGATTTAAGGTTAAATTTTATATTACTTGTTTAGAGTTTTTAAAGGTGTAGATACTTTGGCTATATTCTGGCTTGAGAGAACAGTATATAAGTTTTATAAGGGCTTCAAATGTGCTATTATTAGGATTACTTGTATTACAAGGCATGCAAGTATTTTAATTTTACTAAGATACATAGTTTTAAGCTGGACAATTTTTACAATATCTATTTTCTAGAGTCTAGTTAAATGAACATAATGGCATCTGATAGACTTTAGGTACACTTTCATACAAGAGCATCATCGTATTATTGTATATATCATATTAAAGCTTGCCTTTCTGTTATATATCGTTAGCTTTCTATCTGAACTAATTAATAGACAACTAGTAAGCAAATGTATCATTTAAATTCAAGAGTTATATACTATTAATCCAAGTCACATTCATTGAAGTACTAGCATTGGGTATCTTAGTTTCAGTAGTTGAACTGTAGAATATTGTAGTATGATTCTAATTATGGTATTATATAGCTGTTGATTATCCTATATTAGTGTAGTTTTTAGATGCAATTTTCATTCCAGTATCAAAGAGCATTAGTTTCATTGTGAAATTTGAAAATCTTTGAAAAACCTATATTCTGCCAAGGCCATTTTGATATGCAGAGCAACCTAGAATCAGATATTACCTTGTAATTTACAAATTTTCAATGCAGTTGTCATCAATATACATCATAGTCTTTAGCTCGTATGATATCGGGCTTGATTTAGCATAAATCTCGTAGATGTTGCAAATACCTGTCTATTTCAAATTGTAAGTACATACTACCAAATCATAGTTAGTAGTATCACTAGCATTCAATTTTCTTTGTACTCCATAAAGAAGTCTATCGTTTCTGATTTAGATGATGCTAGGCAAGATGGTATTAATCTTAACATCCCTTAGATATAATATTTTCTGAGTTTAGTCTAAGTACAGCTCAAACAAGTCAGTCTAAAATCCAGAAAACATTGTAGATTCTAATCTATATGTTTTAGTAAGGTTCAAGTCTAATAAATTCTCAGATATGTTTATCTTTACTTGCTGCATTGTATTATTGAATACGTAAGTCATCCTCACAGTAGTATCGAAATAAGAATAGGATTGCACACTCAAAGCAGTCAAGTTTTAATTGTAATAATATTAATATGATGGGGAACTTCCAGATAGTAGTATACTTTGCTGTCAGTGTATTTCTAGTCTTCCTGGACAGCTAACGCCAACCATTGGTCCTACTGTTAGATTGCATTTAGTTTAGTTCAATGAGTAAATGGGCTAGAAATCTTAAGCACCGACTTATAGTATTTCAGTTATACAGCTCAGTAGAAGAAAAATTTACAAATATTATTGAATTGCTTTCATTGTTCAATTATTTAATGATTTATTTTCCCTATATAAATTTCATTTAAATGGAAAATTTTTATTTCTCAACAGTTCGGGGTTTTGGGGTTTTGGGG